GGAGTTCCTGGGCGGGGCCGACAGAGCGGCCGCCCCAGGTGGAATGGGAAGGTGTGCAGTGCTTCAGAGGCATTGTCTGGAGTACGCTTTTGACTCTACCAAACCCAAAGCCACGAAGGTTTTCCTCCTGTGTCTTCTAGAAGTTTTGGAGGATTTTATGTTTACGCCTATGATCCATTTAGAGCTAATTTTTGTACCTGCGAAAATACGGTCTTAGGTAACTTCTTTTGCCTATGGATAGCTAGCACCATTTCTTGAAAGAACTATCTATCCTTTTTCCATTGAAAAACCTTTGCATTTATGAAAAATAAAGTTGTCCTTATATGTGTGGTTTAAGACACTCCTATTCTGTGGCCATATCTGTCTTATCCTTACAAAAATATCGTGTTGTCCTTGATTACTGTAGCTTTATAATATAGAGTCGAAATCAGATAGTGTTTGGCATTCAATTTTGTTCTTTTTCGAAGATGTTTGGAATTTTGTGTTTCCGTATGACTCTTAAAACCAGTTTGTCATTTTCTGTTAAAAAGCTGGGGGTTTTGTTGCGGTTGCATAGCATCTGTAGGTCAATATAGGAAGACTTTACAATGTTAATAATATTGAGTCATATGCCCTTTGAACAAAGTAAACCTCGCCATTTATTTAGGTGTTAAATAACTCTCAACAATGTTTGATTTTTTGTTAAATCTATCTCTAACTCAGATTTGCCCATAAAGGTATGCGGGAGGGGGAAATCATACTTGTGGATGCTATGTAAATGATATTTTCAATTTCTATTTCTGATTGTTCTTTTCCAGTGTGTAGGAAGACAATTGAACTTTTAAAATTTATTTTTAAATAAAAAATTAATAAACTTAAGTTTTCAGAGTTTTAGGTTCACAGCAAAATCGAGCAGAAAGTACAGAGTTCTCATATACCCACTGTCCCCACACACCCACAACCTACCCCACTACTGACATCTGCTTACTAGAGTGGTGCATTTGTTACAATGGATGAACCTACATTGACATGATTATCACCCAAAGTTCATGGTTTACAGTAGTTTCACTGTTGGTGGTATACATTCTGTGGGTTTTGAAAGATGTACAATAACATGTATACACTATTGTGGTATACAGAATAGTTACATTCCCATAAAAATCTTCTGTGTTCTGTCTGTTCATCCCTCCCTCCCACCTAATTGCTAGCAACAACTGATCTTTTTGGTGCCATCATAATTTTGCCTTTTCCAAGATGTCATATAGTTGAAGTCATGCAGTAGGTGGGTAGCCTTTCAAATTGGCTTCTTTCACTTAGTAATGTGCATCTGAGGTTCCTCCATGTCTTTTCATGGCTTGATAGCTCATTTCATTTTGGTGCTAAACAATGTTCCATTATCTGCATATACCACACTTTATCCACTCACCAACTGAAGGACATCTTGGCTGCTTCCAAGTGTTGCCAACTATGAAGAAAGCTGCTGTATACATCCATGTGCAGGTTTTGGTGCAAATAAGCTTTCAATTCCTTTGGATAAGTATCAAGGAATATGACTGCTGGAACATATGGTATAGTTTTGTAAGAAACCACCAAATTGTTTTCCAAAGTGGTGGTACCATTTTGTATCCCACCAGCAAGAATGAGAATTCCTGTTGTTCCACATCCTCTCTAGCATTCGGTGTTGTCAGTGTTTTGGATTTTGGTCATTCTAATTCTAATAGGTGTTTCATTGTCCTTTTATTTTGCATTTCTCCAATGACATAAGATGTTGAACATCTTTTCATATGCTTATTTTTATCTCTGTATTTTCTTTGGTGAGGTGCCATTTCAGGTCTTTTGCCCATCTTATTTATTTGTTTGTTTGTTTGTTTATTGTTAACCATCACCCGAAGATATTTTCCATTGATTTTTAGAGAAAGTGGAAGCGAGGGGGAGAGAGAGAAACATCAGTGTGAGAGAGACACATTGAAGGAAGTTGTGGCTGGGGATCGAGTCTGCAACCAACGTACATGCCCTTAACCAGAATTGAATCTGGGACCTGGGTCCCTTCAGTCCATGGGCCAATGCTCTATCCACTGAGCCAAACTGACAAGGGCCTCTTTTGCCCATTTTTAAATCAGGTTGCTTTTTTTCTTATTGTTGAGTTTTAAGAGTACCTTATCAGATATGCCTTGCAAATATTACATGTGTTTGATAAGCTGTGGCCTTATCTTCTCATTTTCTTGACATTGTGTTTCACAGAGCAGATCTTTAATTTTAATCAAGTCCAGCTTATCAATTGCTGCTTTCATGGATTGTGCATTTGGTGGTGTTTGTTTAAAAAGTCATCACCAAACCAAGGGTATCAGGGTTTTTTCTTATGTTCAAGAATTTTCAGTTTTGTGTTTAACACTTAAGTCTATGATACACCTTGAGTTAATTTTTTTGTAAAGAGTGTGAGATCTGTGTCTAGTGTGTGTACGTGGATGTCAAATTGTCAAAGATTTGCCAACTTTATTGCATTTTTATTGTTTTTAATAGTTTATGGAGTCTTTAGGGCTTTCTCTTTTTTTATTGTTCAAGAGTCAGGTAGATCTTTAAACATTTTTCTTTTTTTATTGATTTCGAAGAGGGAGAGGGAGAGAGAGAGAGAAACATCAGTGATGAGAGAGACTCATTGATCAGCTGCCTGCTGCATGCCCCCTACTGGGGATTAAGCCTGAACCTCGGCATGTGTCCTGACCTGAAATCTAACTGTGACCTCCTGGTTCATAAGTAGATGCTCAACCACTGAGCCACACCAGCCAGGCTAGGGTTTTCTGTATATAGAATTATGTCACCTGTAAATAGTGACAATTTTACTTCTTCATTCCCAATTTGGGAATGCGTTAGGAATTATTCTCTTTTGTTCAGTTTTTTGGAAGAAATTGAGAAGGACTGGAATGGCCTTGTAAGTTTAGAGAACAGTTTAATTATAGCTATACAAAGTAATGGAACAAATTAAGATGACATATTTGTCCCTCCTGATTTTGTTATGATTATTGAAACCAAATAATTTAGTATTTTTTAATTATTGTGCAGTAAAACTTTTTGGCACGTCTTACCTGGAACCAAAATGTATTTAAAAATTAAATAAACTTACTTGAAAAAAATGAAAAAACATAAAATGCAAAGCATCATTATTTGTTCTAACAAAATTTATTATGCAGTAATTACAAAGGTTAAAGACTCTTCCATCTCAAATAAAAATAACTATTATAATTACACACATAACATAGTACCTTATAAGAATGATTCCAATAAATATCACAGAAATACAGTGCATTTTCAAATCGGAGAGACAAATCCTTTCTCGTTCACAGTGTTTGACAATAGGAAGGCCTATTCACTTAATGATCCTAAGGTCATGCTCTTAGTAACAGTCCACACAGAGCTGAGCCAACCCAATTCCTTCAGAATGTGAAGTACCGGGCAAACCACTCCTGGCGCTGGGGATCTGGAGAAGCCACCGGGGAAGCTTCACTCTGAGGAGGACTGAATTCATAAAGAGAGAGACATGTAACCCAGCATTAAGCTGCTTTGCAAAACAAAGGGTAAAGCACATAAAACATCAGTGTGGATGACCCCAAGGGGCTTTCTAGGTGGATGTGTGTTAAAGGATCGCTACTCCTCTACCCTAGATTCAGTTCTCCACGCCATGGGGCCTGAGACTACATCAGCAGCTCAGATGAAGTCAGTTCACAATGACCAAAACCAAAAAACAAACAGTTGAGGAAAACAATGTCACCTTCTTTGAATAAAAAAAAAAAAAAATTCAGGCATGACGGGGCATAAGAGAGAACAAGATAACATTCCTCTCTTTCAGTGTCTTTTCTCTTTTGGTTAATTTCAGAATCTGACACAAGCACTTGCTTTTTACAGATGTGTGCTTAAATACAGCTAAAGTAAGTAACTAAACCACAGTGTAGTATTTTTACTATGGGTATATATTTATATTAAACTTTCACTTCATAATTCCATACGCAAATACTCCAGGGGAAAAGGAGTGCATTAAAAGGTCACGTTCCCCTCCATCTTCAAAGTTATATAACTCATACTTATCGTAAGTCAAACTAAAGATTCTTTGGGCTAGTTGAGAAAATAAAAGAATCCCTACCGTCTTTGGGGGAAATTACAAGGCACGCAACAATGTGTAATGGCAACTCCAGTAGTCATGTTCCTTGAGCTCATGCACATGCATCTTACTGATACCTGAACATACCCATGCACAAGGGAAAATAAGCAACACAAAATATTTAGCAGGAGACACATTCAAAGGTGAACTTGACTATTTTTAATTCTTGCCATTTTTTCTATTTAAAATAATTAGTTATTAACTATGTCATTAATCACTTAACCTAGAAAAAGATAGTCTACCTGTAAGACTCTTACTAGTGATGCTGCTGTTAATAAAAATAAGTTAAAAGTAAATAAATTTAAAGCAGCTCATAATCAGTAATAATAAGTAAGCATAAAGCGACAGTACCTTCTGACTTTAATCTTTAATGGATAAATAACTGGATTTTGTTTAAATTTTATTCATTAATATACTTAATACCTCTGAGATGACTTAAAATTGGAATGTCAATTATAAACACTATTTATTTTTTGCTTATGTATATCATTAAGTTCCCAGAGCTTACATATTTTTTATTTTGGTAATAAGCCTGTGTATTTATAAGTAAGCCTGGTAAACAAGAAAGGGAAAAAAAAAGAAACATATAACACAAGAAACAGAAACAAATAAAAGCCACTAAATTAAAACAAATTTTAAGTTCTCTAATAAGGATGATTATTGAAAAATTAGTGACAACACTAAAAATGAAGCAAGAGTCCATAAATATTAAAATTCTAAGCATGGGAATCACATTAACACCTCCCTAAACATTTAGAAAATTGACTAACAAATTGGAAAAAAATCTTTTTAAAAATCAAAAAAGAGTTCTCTAGAGAGGTGATCAATATATTTTGAAAACACTTCACAGTATTTTCCTAGGCTGTTCTTAAAGTAGTAGATTTCTACAATGTCAGAAGATAAATTTCTCAAGTTAAAAAAAAAGTAAAGAAAAAAAAATCACTGGTGAGACGGGGCTCACCTCAAAAATGTCTTGGGCTCTTTGGGTGGCACTGGCTGTGGCAGTGGCTTGTTGCTGTTGAACTCAATATCGTGGACTGGAGAATTAGGAATGGGATCCAGACGGTTAGGATGTCCATTGCCCACTCCACCAGATTCCAGAGCACTTAGATTGGGAACACTCACAAACCTGTTTGTTGGTGATTTATCATTCTTCTTCTTTTGCTGCATTAAAAATAATACATGTGAGGATAGTCCCTGCATAAGGACAAGTGAGAAAAGAGGAATCATAGAAGATATAAATTTGGCATGGGAAAATTTTGGAAGCTTTCTGTTACATTGGGATGTTAACATGAACCAGTGTTACCCAAAGTGTGGTCTGGGGATCCTTGGAGGTGTTCTTTATCTACATGGAATCCTCACAGACAGACATGCTGCCAGGACAGAGAGAATGAGGAAGAAACATTTAGGAATGGTTCACGGGGAAGGGAGGAAGAGGTGGGAAGAATGCCAAGTGGTAAAGAATACTGGGAGGGAAAGGGGGAAAGAAAGAGGGAAAAGAGTAGGTCTTTCAGATAGCACGAGGATTTAGGCTAAAATTAGGAGAAGGTATAAAGTTAAGCATAATATTAAAAGAGAGTCCTGTGAACTTTAGCCATCTGTCAGAGGGAGGCAGTCCTTGCCTGGAAAAAAAGGGAATGAGAAAATGCTTGGCAATACAGTTTGAAACAAATCTCACATTTCTACTTAAGATCTAAAGTTGACTTAGAGAAATAATTTGGTCTTAAATTTAATGCACCATCTTTCTGAAGAGAGAAAATTAAATATGCATAATTAAGTCTCCTTTCCCAATTAATTGGTAGTATCATTAATTGGCTCACAATCTTTTAGAAAAAATTAAAGTGTATAAAACAGATCAATTTTTAAATTTTTAATTGTTCTTTAAAATTAACAGATGAAATGGGGAATACAATAGCAGATTATCAAAATTTATCAGCTTGGCCCTAGCTGGTTTGGCTCAGTGGATAGAGCCTCGGCCTGTGGACTGAATGGTCCCAGATTCAATTCCAGTCAAAGGCACATGCCTGGGTTGTGGGCTCAATCCCCAGTGGAGGGTGTGCAGGAGGCAGCCAATCAATGATTCTCTCTCATCATTGATGTGTCTCTCTCTCCTTTCCTCTCTGAAATCAATAAAAATATATTAAAAAATTGTATCAGCTTGTAAATCATTAACGTTAGTCTATTTTATTCACACCTCTAGAATCAATGAATATCATCTTACTCTGCAGAATAAAAATTAACATGTAAAATACTTTCAATATTCCCATATTTTACTAATTAAATGTATGGTAAATGTATGAAAAAATTTTTGGAAATGACTCCAGAGGTTGGAAAAAATACAATTAATAGATAAGATGGCCCTTTTCCTTTACTTACAAAGTAATAATCTCACTATCTAGACATTGTCCTCTATAGCATAGTCTGTGACCACGGAGTCTCTGATAAGGAGCCTATGTGAGCCTAACTGAAAAAAGAAAGAATAATATTTTCTTCAGAACTATTTGTAGAAATTGAAGTCATTCTTAGGAGTCAAAATAATTAGAAAGTTCTGAGAGATATACCTTTTGCATTTTCTTCTTCCAGTCACCAGAGGGCATAATGAAACCTACTGAAGATTTCTATTTTAAGAAATCAAAGGTATCGTTGGTAAAGTTCTATAGTAATTGTTTTGTAGCAACAAACCTAATTCTAATAAACAATAAATACAAGGAAAATATTTCAAGCATATCTTGTTTTAACAAGTCTCATAATCTTGCTTTATAATTAAAAACTTACCTCACCCTAAATTATGAACTTAAAACTAAAACTGACTACATTCATTCATTCACCAATTATTTATTGCGAGCCTTCTCTGTGCCAGGCAGTATTTTAGGCTCTGGAGATACAGTCATTCTATTTTATAAAACATGTAAGTTTAAAGTTTGGAAATCTTTAATTTGTGAAAGGACACATTCCATGTTCTTAACAGAACTTTTATGGCCTTTGAAAACAAACATTTCTGACTAACAGCCTAACATACCTAAATTAGGCATGATGTACAAATTAACAAACGAATTAAATAATATCTTTAGCACTAGCCCTTTTGCCAAAATACATGTAATCCTATGAAGCCAATATACATAATTATTTATTCCTTATTACTTGCTTTCATCACTAGAATAATTTTGGTGCCTTACAGGTAATAGGATAAAATTTTGCAACTGGACAGATATTTATTGAATACCCATTATACCCAAAGCACTATGACGGGAGTCATAGGAAGCTGGGATACAAAGCTGTATAAGACTTAGTCATGTCCATTTCATTTGTCTCTAAGGCTCTTCTATCCTAAAAGAGTAATAAAGGGTCAGAGTAGGTTATTTTCAATTTTAATTAAGGAAAAGTCGTTAAGACTGAGAAAAGTAAAGTCTTTCTCTGACAGTCGGTCCAACCCAATGTCCGTTAAGATGGCAGGCCTTACTTAGGGGGAGCTGTTGGGTACACAGAGCTGGAGGGTCCCCCAGAAGCTGGTGAGCACTAGGAAATGACAAGAAGTTATCTTGAGGAGCCTTAGAAGATAGTTTTCTTTAGAGATATGAAAAATAAAATGACAGCACCAAAGTTTAATCATATGAATAAAGTGTTATTTTAAGGAGCATTATCAACAAATAAATGAATATTATGGGAGTCTCATTCTGAAAATGAATACATAAAGCTTTCATAGATTTTAGTCCTAGATTATTAAATTTAAGAAAACATATTTTGGAAGGTTTAGCCTATGCTACTCTAAATATTTTACAAAGTTTTAATCAAGTTTTAAACCATATCCCTATTTCACAGTGTGTACAGCACATACCTTAGCCAATGGATTAATAACACCAACAGTAGGACTTGAATTAAACACTTTGTTGAAGTTAGTTTCTCGATTGACTAATTCCAGCTGATAAAACTTATTATCCTCCTATGCAAAAGAATTACAATCATCTCTTAAACATTTTCTAGTGAATGTTTAACAACTTAATTGTTTAAATGCCATTTCATTCAAAATTTAATAAAAAAAACCTGAATGAAGATTTATATACCTTGCTCAAAGATTTTTTAACCTGACTGCCAGTGTCTTAAAGACTGCTGGTGGGTAAGTTTTCAACATCTTTCAAACCCTATGCTCCGGCTCTCTTCTCTACCCTTTAATACCTTTTGCCTTAAGACTGGGTCTAAATGTTTTGTGTGTTCCCATCCATGTTGCAAAGGGCTGACTGTGCAGTTTGGGCCAGCTTAACCTGCATTCGTGGAGCTGTGTGCATGGTTGAGTTGTTTCCACATGTGAAGATGACACTAGGATAGAGCATTATTCTTGAGTCCTGGAAGGATATTTGATCTTGTCTAAGCTCCTCTCTGAGACATCAATGTATGACGGCAGTTGTAAGCACAGACAGAGACAAAGTGAACAGCCCATACAGAGACAAACACTTCGCCTTTGTCTTCACCAACAACATGTGCTAACTGAATAACCGGACGGGTAGAAGTAAACAGAAGTAAATGGAACCGTGTGAAATGTAGGACTGTGCTCTAGTAGAACTAGATTCTTCATCTCTCTCTTAGTTACCACTACCATCATTTTCATCATTAATTTTAGCCCATGTGCCTCCCAGTCCACAGAATCGGGGTGTAGTGGCAAGAGAGTGGAACAACCCATGGCTAGATTCCTGGCTTTGTCACACACTGTGTTGCTTTGGAAACTTACTTTACTCTTTGAAGTCTAATACCTATCCTGTTGTGAGGAAAAAATACAATTTTATCTGTAACACTCAGTAAGAGCTGGAAAATCAATAGCTATTTCTATGGACCACAGATGAACTGAGAATCTTCGAAAGAGAGCCTGTAGCTTAGACTTCGTCGTGACACCTTTTGTCCATGGGAACAGGGTTCCACGGAACACAGTTTAGGAAATTAACTGACTAACCTACAAGAGTACAATGCAGACTAATGCATGAGTGCGCTGACTATTCTTTCCTACCCAATTCTAATTCTGCATGTATAATACAGACACTTCAATAGAACATTAACTGTACATTGACAATGACATATTATTAAACATTTGATATGGACTAAAAATACTGGAAAAAGAGGCACCAAATTTAAATGTTAAAATTACTTAGAATTTCTCTTCCTTGTTCATAACATTTTAATAAACTTTCAATCACAATGCACATAGGTTATACTTTCAATTTTTGTTTAGCATCACTTAAAAATATTTCCCCATGTTTCCCCAATCAACAGTGTATTGATTTGCTACATGGTTACATCAAAAACAAAATGTCTTACAATTAGTTTCTTTATGACATGGTCCCTTTCTGTAAGCATGGCTTTTAATTCTGTAATCATCTGTACATCTTCTGGTTTTGATTCTCTCATTAGATATTTTTCTTCCATTTCTTCTAGTCTAAAAACAAGAAAATCTTTAGCTCAGTAAGATGACTCAGCAAGGTTTGGTAATACCTACAGTTTTTCATATTAGTCCAGTTGAATACACACAAAAACTAAAAACCAAACTTTTTCCTTAAAACTTTAGAGGCTGATGATAGGACTGTTTCAAGAACTAAAGCGGTATTAAAAACTCTCCAGGGTTAGATGCTATTAAAGGCTTTGCTGTGTACTTTTTGAATAATTCATTCATTTTATGCCATTCCAAGAGTATATGGGGTTGAGGTAAGGTAAGCTCTGTAGAAGAAATGATATGCTGAATGCTACTAAATTAGTTGGAAATGTAGGCTTACTATTAGAACTCACCACAAATACAACATTGTGTTATGACATAAGGCTTGGTAACATATACAAAAGGGACAGGAAAAAAAATACAGAGGAAAGGGAAACACATATGAAATCATTCTTTCCTGGTCTATAAGAAATTCAGTTTTAAAATGCTGTTATCAGCTAATCCATATGCACTGTGAAAAAGGTTTATCAGGTTTAAGAGCATTGTATGTCCTTCTAGGCCTAGTCTGCCGTGAATGAAATGACAAGGGAACTGGACCGAAGGCACTGGAGACTAGAATAGAGGCTGCATTTTATGAGCAGAGGAGACATGGACTCTGAAGAGTCTAACGTTTTGGAACAGGGCAGAATTCAGAAGATACACATGGAAACTGCTGGCTTAGTTTGGGAAAAGCACTTTCCACTTTAGAAATTTTAAATAATTAGAACAATTAAAAAATCATTATTGTTTTTAGAATAAAAAGGATAAAACTTAAGCTCAATAAAATTATGGTTAATGAAGATTCACAGAAAAATTTATTCAACCAACAAGATGAATTTGTAGATGATCTGTCTTCAAGGAACTGGTGACCCATGCCCATCCCCTGATTCCAGAGCAGTATCAGAATCTCTGTATTTTAGTAATTTCAGTAAACTCCTCCGCTACCTCAGCCCAAGCTAGAGGTGCGCAGATAACATATTTGGCCCCCTATCCAGTCCCACAGCTAAAGTTCTAACCTGGAGGTGGGGAGGAATGAGGGTGACAAGAGGTGTGGGGTTAGGAAGTAACTGTCTCAGATCAGATGGGATTTTGTCAGTTTAGTGTGAGGTTCCACTATCTCTATTTTTGTTCTTTTGTGACAATGCAGACTGAGTGGAAACTGTGATTCACTGAGCTCACATACAGTGACCTTGCTTTTATCACAATATGGCATTTTATGGACAAAACTTTCTATATTTTATGGGCAAAGGTTTTAAGAAGCTTGAAAAACCAGTCAAAGAAAAAGGCATTTGGGTTTAACACTGGAGTAGCCACAAGATGCCACTGGAGTACTTTCCTTATCATCAAAAGCAAGGTAACATTAACTACTTGCAGCTGAACAAGAATACTTGGTTGTTAATGGTCGCTAACCGCCCCCCGCCCCCCAAAAACACACACACAAATACACTTTATGTCTATCTTTTGTTCTGATACAGCGATATTCAACCTTTTTCATCTCATGGCACACATAAACTAATTGCGAAAATTCTGCAGGACACCAAAATATATATTACTTTTTTGCTGATCTGACAAAAAAAATAGGTATCATTTTGATTCATTCGCACAGAACTGCTCTTGTGTTGGTTGTTCTCATTATTTTATTTGACAATCTAAGGGAAAAGAGGTCAGTGCTCCTGACTAAATCGTTAGGTATTGTATGTTTTAAAAATTCTGTGGCACACCAGTTAAAAATCACTGATCTATAACAAGAAGGTAACATAAAGTGAGTCTAAAATCAGTTACAATTCCCGAGCTACCATTTTGCATAATAAAGGTCTGCTCTGAACCTAAATTCTAATATTTGTTTTCATTTAGCTTAAACATTCTTTACCTACAAAATTATCAGTTAATCTTTTCCACAAAATACCCTTACATCACCACATTTTTTTTTTCAAATACCTGGCTATTAAAGGGAAAAAAATAATTAATTAAATTGGAGAGACAGAATCAACATAAACACAAATGGGAAAGCATTAAAGGAGAAAACAAGTAATATGATATAGATTTAACTTGCAAAAATATTTTCAAAATTATTAGTCTTTTGAAATTCTAATAGGAAGAACACTTGGTCCTACTTTGATACCACTTCAAGTCAACACTAGTTAACTTCCTTCACTTGCCTCACACAACATTCTAAGCCGGCATTGCTTCCCAAAGCTTAGGTGTGAGTGATTGAAGGTACAGGAGATGATTTTTAACTTGTTCTCCTTTAGTCTTTCTGATCACAAGAAGAAGAAAGTCTACTTGGGTCCATATATCTTAAATAACCTTCATAATATATGCTTCTTACCCTGTTTCACAACACTCAGGCAGGCCATGAACATCATGCTAGCTAGAATCTAATAATATTGTTTTATTTTCACAGAATTTACATTTATATAACTATAGCTTAACCTCTATTTTGAATAATAGATATAATTTTTCAGTAGTGATTATGATTTTACTGTAGACATAATTAAGTTTTTCTGTTAAATTTTTAAGTTAAAATGAACCAATTAAAAATATTAAGAAAACAGTATCAGAGGTAGCCAGAAATAACCAAATTCCCAAAGGAAATGTGAGGGAAATACTGCTTTGAGGTAACCATACAAGTACATATAGTCTTTTTACTCAAAATATGGATTCCCATTAAAAGTAATACAAAAAGAGAACAGACAGAAGTAGAATATATAAAATTACCATTCAGGGCCACTGTTGGATTCTCCCCAGGCATGCACTGATATTTTTATTTTTTTATTTTTTGGATTTGAGAATATATAGGTCAATGTCTATGATTTATAGACAACACAAACCTAAAATATAAATGCCGCCCTGACCGGTTTGGCTCAGTGGATAGAGCGTCGGCTTGCGGACTCAAGGGTCCCACCATCGATTCTAACTCTCTATCCTTCTCCCTTCCTCTCTGTAAAAAATCAATAAAATATATTAAAAAAAATAAAATAAAATATAAATGCCTAAAAAGCTGTAAAAACTGTATTTTTAAAAGTTTCCAAGTTGATAGTCCTCCCATGCTGCTTTTTAAAATAAATAATTGACAAAAATATCAGTAAATTGAGAGTTTGAAGCCAAACAAAGGTATTACTAGGCACACATATATTTTAGAACTAGAGGCCCCGTGCACAAAATAAGTGCACTGGGTGGGCGGGGGAGGGCCCCTTAGCCTGGCCTGCGCCCTCTCGCAGTCCGGGAGCCCTCAGGGGGATGTCCAACTGATGGCTTAGTGCTGCAGTGGAGGTGGGAGAGGCTCCCGCCACTGCCGCTGTGCTCACCAGCTGTGAGCCCAGCTTCTGGCTGAGTGGCATGCCTCCTGTGGCAGCGCACTGACCACCAGGGGACAGCTCCTGCGTTGAGCGTCTGCCCCCTGGTGGTCAGTGCACATCATAGCTACTAGTAGTTCTGCCGTTCGGTCTATTTGCATATTAGCCTTTTATTATATAGGATTTTAATTGTATAAAGACCAAAGAACCAGGTTATACCATCCTTCTCTACAGCCTGCAGGAAAAGTAGTAACTGAAGCAGTTTAATGGCAAACATTTTTCCCCAAAAAGAATTGTGGACCCAGATGACTTGTGAAAATGGGACTACTACATCCTTATCTCACAAAGTTTATGAAAATAACCTGAATGGTAATTTAAAAATCAAAGGACAAAAACAGAAAGCAACAGATAAGAGAACTCAAACAAGTTTTAAAGACTAAGTAATTCTGATGTGGTGGGTGCTTCTTTTCAATTGGGGGTTACTGACCTACTTAAAGTCCAAGTACAGAAACTCAGTAATTCCTCCAAGAAGAAATTATCTTTTTGCTTCAGTGTAGTGAGAGTTAATGTTAAATAGACCATTTTTGCATAATAAAGATCTGCCATTCTAGTATATGTTTACATGTAGCTTAAACAGAGTTCTTTAAAACAGCCCATTCTCTCATTTGTTTCTAAAACAAACAAAAACCATGAGGTTTTTTAATTAGCTAGAGGTTTTTTACCAATATACTATATCACTCAAGAAAACAAAAATATTTCTGTAGCCCAGCTGGCGTGACTCAGTGGTTGAGCATCGACTATGAACCTAGAGGTCACAGTTCAATTCCCAGTCAGGGTACATGCAGGGGTTGTGGGCTCAATCCACAGTAGGGGGTGTACAGGAGGCAGCCCATCAATGATTCTCTCTCATCATTGATGTTTCTATCGCTCTCTCCCTCCCCCTTTCTCTTTGAAATCAATGAAGATATATTTAAAAAATATATATTTCCATAGAATGTCTGAAAATCTAAGAAAACTTTAATACCCAGCTCTACAGAAGAGGATTTCTAGTAATCATTCCATGAGATACAGAACTCTTATCACCATTTCTACATTGTTTAGAGAGCACTTTCCATCCTTTAAATCTTTTTCCCCCTCTTCCTTGTAATCCAACGGAATTTGGGGCAGGGACAGAAGAACCTTCCAGCTGCTCCAGAGGCTCCTTGCTCCAGGCTTCAGCTCAGGAGGTTGACACATGTTCCCCTGCCACTACCACCCACTTCCAAGGATCCAGGGGTTTTCTGATTTTGAAGTTTGAAAGCCAGCATGCAGTTGATTAGGAACTTCAAAAAGTATACCGTTAGTCCTTTGGGACAGGCTGGGAATAGTCCAGTGTTGTTCCCCCCAGCTCCTAAAGCTGGGATGGACACTTCCTGCTCACCATCTCTGTCTAAATGCGAGCCATTCAGCAGCTCCAAGAAGGCTGCCTTTAAGAATATGGGGCAGAATTATCCAATAGTCTAAAACTGTGTTTTCTAATATAGGAGCTACTAGCCCACGTGTGGGTATTTATGGTATTTACATTTAAATTAAGTAAAATTAACTGAAACTTTAAAAAATCAATTCCTTAGTCTTGCTAGGCACAGTTCAAATGCTCAACAGCATTGTAGCTACTGTACTACATAGAGCAGATACTGGACATTTTCATTATCACAGAAAAATCTGGATAGTGCAGATCTAAAACGTTTGTTTGTTATAAACTAAAAGAGTAAACACCTAAAGCTAGAGGCAATTATATAATGGCAGTAAGTTTCTGGTGAGAAAGGAAGTATGATTGGTTAGCATAAACCTAGTTGAAGTATAAAACAGATGGTACATTTAGAAAAGTAATAAAATATTTTACTTATGAGTAATACTAATTCTTCACTTACTAAAAATGATCATAATAGAAAAACTAAGTTAGTGATTTACTACCTACTGAAAATCCAGAATGTGCAAAACCATATAAAACAGAATAACGTGAAAACAGAAACATAACCTTTGCTCTTTGTAAATTAACATTCCTAAGGAGACAGGGCACAGGGCAGACAGAGGTCATTCTTTTTGTAAGCATGCTTTCTTAGCGTATACAGTGGGGGATGCCAGGATTTCAGCCTCAGACTGATAAATAACACTGAGGGCAGGAAAAAGGAGAGTCAAGATGATACTGCTGTAATTAACTAGTTATTAATAACTAGTTGCCCGATGCACAAAATTCGTGCAAGGGGCTCGGCCCTTGCAGCCCCGGCTTCATCCAGAAGGTCGTCTGGAAGGTAGTTCGGCTGTCCAGTCTAATTAGCATATTACGCTTTTATTATTATAGATAGGAAAGGAGCAGAAGGGAGGCCAGGCATTATTAGCATGGCCATTTGGGCAGCTTCTCCAGGAAGTTGCAGTTTCACACTCCTCAGGGAACCATCGGCCCATTCCCCACAGATCACTGGGGAAAGGGGCCCAACCAAAAGGAGAAAGATGCATGTGCAGTGAAGTTGGGGTGGCTAAGGAAGGTGACTGTCAGTCACACCTGGGAACAGAGATCCTTGGCCAGAATAGGCGGGGCCACTGCAAGCCGAGGAAAATGTGGAAACACATAATCCCCTAAACAAAGGAGCTCGTGCTCTTGGCTCTTGGCTCTCTTGCATTCGTCCACGTGGCCCATGGCCATGCGGACCCCACACACAATGGACTGATGGACTGCAACAGGGAACACAAACCAAGCTAGCCTGATGCTGGACTGGATACTGCTCCACTGAAGCCACAGCTACGCTTCTTCCTTGGTCCAACAAAGAGAAATGGGACCTCAGAAACTCAGGGGTTTGATTCACAGAAATGAAGCTTTCTACAACACCTCATCCTCTGGTGTGAGTCTCAGAAAATTCCTTGTCTTGGGATGTCACAAGAAGCCCATCCCCATGAGCAACAGATGGGAACGTGGAGCTCTCCCCACACATGATAAAGGCACTGAGGTTTACTGTAACTCATTTTTGCAAAATGCCTGCGGTTATGAGCTCTTCTACATGGCAGGTATCTGAGCTCTTACTGTGGCTCAAATGACCTCCAATAACGGCAAGCAACAAAAATCACTGTGGCTGGGGAAATGATCTCATGGGTCTCCTCACTATTTCAAAAGTAATTTTATGAAGTGGTAAATGTTATAGGAAATTCTCAAAAAAGTTTATTCATGAAACAGTCATTGAGTGCCTACTAATGTGAAAATTTGCATTTATCCAGAGGCCGCTGAAGTAAATGCCAAGGGCAGGAGGTCTATATTGTGTTTCAGTTTACGTGAATGAAAGTATATATATATATATATAATTTACTGTGAGTCTTAATTGGTTAAATGGGTGAAATGTGAGGAGATGATTTTTAGGTTGAGGAATGGAGCTAGGGTAGTAATGACATAGGAGGTTATTCTAGATTGTAGAGGACAACACAGAGAAACTAAGAAAGAAACCAAGAAGGTCAGTATGGCTGAGCCAAATGCAGCAGCCAGGGAATAAGGTGACTATGGGATGAAGCAGGATAAAGTTTATTGAAGCTATGACTTTAACTTTGACTTTGAGACTGAGGATATGGGATTAGTCACTATTTTGACTTTACTGACATATGTAGAGATAATTATATATCTTTTATGGACCTTTTATTAATGGATTGGAAAAGGAGAGACTGAAGGTGAATAAACCATCTACAGCAGCTTAGAGTAGATTAATTCTGAGATAACTTAAGTAGGACCAGGGTTTGGGCCACAGAGATTAAGTAAATGCTAGTTGCATTGACTACAGCAGTTTATGAAATAAGTGTCTAGGAAAGAGAGGGGGCTATTAAACATTGCTTAAAAATTAAGCAATAATTAGAAATTTGGGTTTTAATAATATTAGAGTTACTATGTATGACTTTATTTGTTATATTTTACCTTTATTGATTTTTAAAATCATAAAACAAATGCTTATTATAGACATTCAAACAATATCTAAGTAGAGTATATAACATTAAAAAGAAAGTCTTTGCTCGCCCTTACCCCCAATACCTCCTAATTCTAGTCCCTAAAGGGAACCACTATCATTAAAATTTTGTATTGATTTTTTTTAAGATCTTTTGATCTTTTTATAAAATATGTATTATTAGTATGATCTACTGGTCATAATATGCTCTTTATACTTAACCTTATATTGGGGACATCTTTTGAGTTTTCACCATGGATGACAGTTCATGATCCTCAGGGACAGTCTTTAGACAAATTTTCATCCTAGTAGAATTATAGAAGTAGCAGCTAATAAACATAATCATTCGACTGACTTACCCTAATTAAAAAATGTCATACACCACAATTACCATCTGTAATATACACTTGTTTTCTTTTTTAAGTATCATTTAATTACTTCAAAAGAGTAGCTAAGCTGAGGTAAGACACAGTGCTCCTCAGTTTATTATCGGCATATGAATTTTCTTTAATATAACGTGACTTACGACACTTGTAAAGCTGCATTTATTTCCTTGAGTAGCTCGTTAGTCTTATTAAAATCTGCCCGCATGATATTTTTCTCTCTGAGGTAGTCTGCTGTCATGACATCCAGCTCTTTCTCAAGTCTCTTGTTTAAATCTTGTTCATGCAACCTGTTTAATTTATTTTTGGTTAAGAAAATGTTATTCTCAAGTCAAGCTTTCAAACTTTCTATATTCTACCAGATTTGAAATGGCTTTAGGTACAATATATAGGAAACTAATGGAAATAACCTAAAGTAAGTTACTCACTTTAATCTTCCAGCTTGTTAAAGTTGTCTCCTTTAATGCTTTTTGAAATAACATTTTAAAAGGATTTTAGTTAATTTTATACAATTGCCAAAGTGGATGAATGCATATACATCATTCAAAATATAACATTTCATCTACGTTTTAGATTATAACATAGTCAACAAGGTCAAAAGTGGTCTTCAATATCTTATTAGAAGACAGTCTAGTCATAAAAATAGGCCTGTCTTGCTAAATACCATCACAACAGTCTGTCAGATAACACTGCAAATTCATCCTGATATAATAATGGCATACATACCTCATCTGTTGGTTAGATTCACTTCGTATTCTGAGAATTTCTTTTCCTTTAAATTCCAATTCTTTGGTTAGGGCACTTATATTTTCATGAAGGTGTTGTACCTCCTTATCCAAGTCAGAGATGTGATGCTCTCTGTGCCTTAATTCATCTTGTAGATCTGTTATTCTGCACAACTGCTCCTTACTCTGCAAAATGCAAATAATTCTTAAAAGTTTTCTACATATTTGCTTTCTGTTTTTATCTGAGGCAAAGAAAATGGAACACTGGAATGTCAAATGTAACACATCTGGCATTACTTCAAAAGCAAACTGCTGAAATGAGAACATGTCAGGGCCTCTTCTCTTTCCATATTTATAAGTGTTTATATGCCTACAGCTTCAATAATGCCAGAGCTACAAGAGACCCAAAAGACCATAAAAGCACATTTCCCTCATTTTACGGATGAGCAGACTAAAATCCAAGAGATGATTTGTCCAAGGAAGATTTATAATCAATGGCAGAGCTGAAGTTAGAACACAGGGCTCTCACATACTCAACAAGTTACGTGGTCTACAATAAGATGCTGGCACCATTGTCCTTCAACCTAAAAAGGACCCACATCTATGGAGGCCATCCCAACACACATACACATATATCCCATGGCTTAGAAAGCAGACTATGTCCAAAGGCCACTGAAGTAAATGCAGTTATCTTGTCTGAAAGAGAAATTTCCTTCTGTTTTCTTAGAAGTCAGTTTTCTAACGTTCTACAGGCCTAACTAGACATTGTTGATTTCAATGTTAGCAGCCCACTTGAAGAAAATATAACTTCCGTCCATGATTATAAGGTTGCTCATTTAATACTTTCTAGTAATGAAAAGAAAATTTAGGCTGGTCATTTAACATAGCTGAAGACTAATAAAGTAAAAGTCATAAGTCTAATCTACACTAATAAAAGAGAAAGATGCAAATTAACCATACCTTCATGACGCCCACCAGCCAATCAGGAGTGAGTATGCAAATTAACCCAACAAAGATGTTGGGTTAATTTGCATACGCAGGCGCCAAGTGGCCAGGAGCGTTCCTCACCACCCCAGCTGCTCTGGGACTCTGGGCAGTGTAGGAAGGCAGAAAGGCGGCTCCGGGCCGGAGCGAAGGCGGTGCTGGCAGCCAGGGGAAGGAAGGCCCATTCTTGCACGAATCTTCGTGCATTGGGCCTCTAGTCCTATATAATCTACACTAATAAAAGAGAAACACGGTAATTGGCGTACGACCACTACCCTTTTCATTGGCTAATCAGTGAGTATATGCAAATTAACTGTCAGCCAAGATGGCGGCCGGCAGCCAGGCACTGAAGCGAGCAGGGAGGCTTGCTTGCTGCAGATTCCAACGTTCTCCGCCTCACTTGCCAGCCTCTCAG